TGAAAACAAATATGTGTTAGTTTAAAAATATTTTCCTTAACTAAATAATTTGTCAAATGCAAAACAGAAGTAATGTGCCATAGATTTATTGTTTATATAAAAAATAAAAAAATTAAGATCTGGGTGTTATGGCACATATCTTTAACTCCAGCACCTTGAAGGCTGTGGCAGGAAGATAGAGAGTTCAAAATCAGCCTGCACTACATAGTGGGATTCTGTCTTAAAAGAAAAAGAAGGTTTAGGAACCCAGCACTGCAAAAGTGAAAGAGAAAATAAAAAAGTATCCCAACTACCTACCTTAGTTAGTCTTTGGAAAAGACTAACAAGCCAAACCAGGGGAAAGAAGAAAATAATGATTAGTGTTGAGGTATGTAAAATAGAAAATGGAGAAACAGTAGAATCAACAAAACAAACATTGGTTCTCCTTTTTTTTTGTTCTTAGCACAAGGGTTTAAACTCAGGGCCTCACACTTGCTAGGCAGGCAATGTAACACTGGAGCCACTCCACCTGCCCTTCTTTGTGTTGGGTATTTTTAAAACAGGGTCCTGAAAACTACTTGATGGGGGCTAGTTTTGAAATACGGTCCTCCTGATCTCTGCTCCCTGAGTAGGTAGAGTTACAGGCTTGTGCCATGGATGCCTGACTAAAAGCTGGTTCTTGAAAAAAATCAACAAATTGGCAAACTTTTATCTAGATTTACCACGAAAAGTAGGGATCCATCTCAAATTACCAAAGTTACAATGGGAAATGCCGATGTTTCTACAGACCTTGCAGAGAAATAAAAAAATGATTATGAGAGCATATTATGAACATTTGTAAAACAGGAAATTAGATAACCTAGATAAAGATGATAAATTCCTAGAGACAAGCCACTGACACTGACACAGAAGAAATACAAAGTTAGAACCAGTAAAAGGACTGAATGAATTAGTCAAACACCTCTCTACAAGGAAAAGCCCAGGAATAGATGGCTTCCTTGGTGCATTCCACCAAACCTTAGAGAGAAATGAACACCTTCTCATACTGTTCCAAAAAACAGAAGAGCAGCCACTTCCAGTCTCATTCCATGAGGCAAACATTACTCTGATGTCAAAGCCAGGCAAAGGCAGCCTCAGAAAACCGTCAGTCAATGGCCCTTATGAATACAAATGCAACATTTCTCAGCAATCCTAGCTCCCAAATCGACTGCATGTTGAGAGAATTACTCATCATGGCCCAGTGGGATGTATTCCAGGAAAGCAAGGTTGTTTTGACAGACCTAAGTCAAGGCAGTGCACTGTATGCACAGAGGGATGAAAGGAAGGCATGATCAGCTCAGTGGATTCAGAGCAAACACCTGACGGGTTCCAATACCCTTTAGTCAGAGGGAAACAAGAACATTTCCTCAGCATGAGCGAGGGCATTTTTGAAAATCCCAGAGCTGACCTTCTCAGTGGTGAGAGGCTGAAGGCTTTCCCCCAAGTTCTGGTATAAGATCAGGAAGCCACTTTGGCCATTTCTTCTCACCCTTGGACTAAGGTTTTAGCTAGAGAGATTAGGCAAAGAGAAGTAAAACATTTAAATTGAAAGAGAAAATTAAAACCACTTAATTTTAATCATAAGCATGTTCTCTGATGACATGACCTTATATGTAGACATCAGCATGCAAAAAAATCAATGAGTGATTTGAAAATTAAGAAATGATTGTGTTTACAAAAGTGTAAAAAGAATAAAATACTTAGGAAGTGACTTAACCAAAGGGCACAAGACTTGGACAGTGAAGAACCACAAACTAGCATAACTGAAAGAAATTAAAGGAGACTTTCCTAAAGGGAAATACCTCCTGTGTTCATGAATTCAATGATTTAATATTGTTAGGATGGCAACATTTTCCCAGATGATTTATCGATTAAATATAATTCCTACCAAAGTTCTAACAGCACTTTTTGTAGAAATGGAAAAGCTTGTTTGCTGATGTGTCATTTTCCCCCAAGCTGGCCTCAAACCACAGTCCTGCTGATCTCTCCACTGAGCAGCTTGGATTACAGGTTTGAGCCACCATGCCCAGCCTACAATGAGGCTTTTTCCTTCCCCTGGTGGTACTTAAGGGTTGTACTCAAGTCCTTGTGTTGAGCCACTCCACCAGCCCAAAGGCAATTCTTAGAGAAAGGAAAACTAAGAAAATTTGCTGCCAGCAGACATGATGTAAGAGAAATGCTACAGTAAGTACTTCAGGAAAAATGGCAATAATTCCAGAGGGAGGCATGAAAATTAAAAGAGCAGAACTAGAACTAGGCATGATGGCAGATGTTGTAGTCCCAGCTACACAGGAGCTGGGATGGGAGGACTCTTGAGTTCAAGAGCAGCCTGGCAGTGTAGCAAGACCCTGTCTCAACAAAGACAAAACAAGAATGAAGAAGGAGGGCTGGCTGGCAGAGTGGTTCGTGATAGAGCACCTGCATAGCAAGCACAATGTTCTGAGTTCAAATCCCATTACTGCCAAAAAAAAAGAAAAAGGGCAAAGAAAGGTAAATATAATTTTTCTTTTCTTATGTTCTTTAATGTAGCCCGGTGCCAGAAGGCTTATGCCTGTAATCCTAGCTACTCAGGAGGCAGAGATCAGGAGGTTGTGGTTTGAAGTCAGGCTGAGCAAATAGTTCTTGAGATCCTGAGACCCTACCTCGAAAAAACCCATCCCAAAAAAGGAGTGGTGGAGTGGCTCAAGGTGTAGGCCTGAGTTCAAACCCCAGTACCACAAAAAAAGAGTTCTTTAATGTATGAATGGTTGTTAAAATAAAAAATTCTAACTTTTTCTGGTGATATTTTTAATGTGTTAGATATAGATATAATTATGTGTATAGATATTAGATATAATACGTATAACAATTACAAAAATAAGGCATGAGGATAAAGGCCTTACACATTTGTAAGACTCCTATATTTTCCAGACATGAAAGTATAATTATTTTTCTCCTTCCTTCCTTTTTATTTTTTTAGGTTTTTGAGACAGGTCTTGCTATGTAGCTCAGGCTGACCTCAAACTCTCAGTCCTCTTGCCTCAGCCTCCTGTTGAGATTATTGGTGTAGGGTGCTTAATTCGCAATATTCCTTTTTATTTTGAGTAAAGTGTGTTTACATGATTTTATGCTTCCTATACACACACTTGTGTCAGTGGTGGGTGATGAGATCTTCTCACCCTGTCAGTTCTTTTCAGTCTGTTTTGGTTTACATAATTGGTTGGTACCTCTGATACCAGAGAAATCACTGAACAGAAGTGACTTGGGGCCACTCCCAACACTAGGCAAAAAGACTTGAAATTCTCACTTTAAAAATGAGTGGTAGCAGGACTAGAGTCTCAAGCAAAGCCCTGTGTTCAAACTCCACAGTAGCACCAAAGAAAAAATGATGATAGTGGAGATTTTAACAGTATCTGTGTAAGTGGTAGGAATTCCCTTTAATTCTAATGAGTTTTTATTATGAAGGATTGTATTAGTTTATTGAAAGGCTCATCTGCATCTATAGAGATGATCACTTTTTTTCCCTTTTGCAGTATTTTTATTTATCTGTGAGGGTATGCAAGAGATGATAAATTTACATATTCTGTTAATGTGTACAATTCTCTTGATTGATTAATTTTGTTTGTTTTTGTTTTTTGGCAGGGCTGTCACTTGAACTCAGGACCTCATGCTTGCTAGGATGATTATTGAATTTAAACTTGTCTTCCAAACAAAATTAAAAAGCAAAACAAAATGAAAACACCAGTGTAGTCATGATATATTATCCTTTTTATATAGTACTGAATCTTATCTTTGAAAATTTTAGGGGTCAGATGGGTGTTATGTGAGGGATTGTCCTGTGACTTCCACATTCTGTGGTTTTCTCAAGTTTTGGTAGCAATTTCCTCCCGGTCTGGTAACTGTGTTCGACTGCATTTCCTCTTTTCTAGTTTTAGAAACAGTCTGCGTAACTTTGGGGAATATGTGCTTGGTAACTGCATAAGGGTTTGAGAAATGACCAGCAAAGTTTCCTCAACTAGAGTTTCACTGGGGAAATGTTTTGTTCTTATTTTTGGTGGTAATGGGATTTAAACTCAGGGCCTTGTGCTTGCTAGGCAGGCGTTTTACCACTTACTCCACACCCACAATTCTGGGAAACATTTTTAAAGACAGACAGTGTCTGTGACAGTCGATGTGTATGAAATGGCTCACATTTTATATTGGCATTTTTCCCTGTGTCCACCTAGTGAATACCATACTGGGGGATTTGTGTGTTTTATCTGCATGTTGTCATAAAATTGCTCAGAGTGCTCTGTGGCTACCTCTGAAATGTGCAGGATTGCCTTCCTTGCATTTTACTCCTCACTGACAGCTGCACCCATGTCTGTCTGTCCTCATTGTCAGCTAATCTGTTTCTTTCGCTTTCTCTTCATTAAGCAAAATTTGCTATTCTTACCCTGAATTCTTGATATGACAGCTTAGTTCATGGATTTTTTTTGAGAAAGGTTTCACTATTTTGCCCAGGCTGGCCTTGAACTCCTGATCCTCCTGCCTCCGCCTCCTTTGTGCTGGAATTGTGTACGTGTGCCACCACACCTAGCTCCCATCGATTTTTAAAAAGTGCTTTGTGTGCATTACTAGGGATCAGCCCAGGACCTGTGCATGCTGTTACATGCTGCAGGACTGGGCTGCATTGCTGCCCCTCGTTCACAATTCTCCCCGGTTTTTTCTTAGTGTTTATTGATGGTACAAAGGGGTTTCATTGTGACATTTCCACACATACATGTAACTTACTCTGATCATATCCACCTTCTTTACTCTTTCTTATCTCTCCTCCCCCTTTTTGAACAATTTTAACAGCTTTTGTTGTTGCATTTTCATATATGTGTATGAAGTGCTTTGATCACACACACCCCTTCACCCTCTCCTTTCTCCCTCCTCCTCCTGTTGTTTACCCCAAACAGCATCCCCCAGGGTTTTACACTCATGACATTCACTTTTTTAGTTCTAGATTCTGCATATCATTCATGGTCCTTATTTTGTTATTTTTTAGCTTTGATGCATAATTTTTTTGTAGTGAAAGTCATAGTAAAGTTTATTAGGAAAACAATACACTTAGAATGAAAGCAGGTTATTTCCAGGGTGAGAAAAACCTGATGTGTAATATTATCACTAGCATTGTCATTCAATTCAGACCTCCTCTCCCTTCTGTTTCGTTCCTCATTTTACTCATTGATAAGTGAGAAATATCCTGCTTTATTTCCAAAACCTGGGATGTTAGTTATCTCTGAGTGCAGTCAGGTGAGTCCCCAAAGTTCCCAGAATCTCCTGCAGCTCTCTGTAAGGGGGTCCTGCTTGGCTGGGGGCCATTAGTTAGTGTCCTTGGGGACAGCTCTTGGGCTGGTGGTAGCCAGAGCAGCATACACACTGGGCTCTGCTGGGAGCCCCCTCCCTGGGAGGAAGGACTTGCAGTTCTCCCCTGTCTGAGTGTCATGCTGCACAGCTGGGCATAGATTACATCCTGAGGATCCTCAGATGCAGCCTGGAGGGGAGAGAATGAGAGTGAAGATGAATGCTTGGCATTGGGGATACTGGGGGCCTGGGGAGGACAGCACCCACCTGACTGCCCACCCGTCTGTCCCCTCCTGCCTGTGTGTGCTTCCTGTCCAGGAATTCCCCCACCAGAGGGGAAGGGGGAGCAGCTCCTCCATTTCTGAGTCTGGAGTGGTTCACCTGGGCATAGGTCGCTCCCTGGGAGTCTTCCTCAGGTGGGCTCTGCAGCAGGGAGATAGTAAAATACAGACATATCCTACTGGTTTCACCTGGATCTCCTCAACCAGTTTTCCCCATGGTGACCAGAGTGATCCTTTAATGACTTAAATCAGCTTAAAATCCTATTGGAGGCTTCAGGGTTTTCCTAAGGCCTTGAGGGTCTGGCAGCTTCCTTCTCATAGTTCTGAACTCTCATCCTAACACTTTGACGCTTGCTCTCTTGACTCCAGACACACGACCCATCTTCTTGGGAGAGTTTGTTCCTGCCCCAGGACCTTTGTACTTGTTGTGTCCCCTGCCTGAAGGTGCTGGTCCAGTAGATGTTTGTATGTCCTCTCCAGGCTTCTGCTCAGAAGATACCTTGTCATAGTTCCCCTTGTAACTCATACTGGCCCTTTCTGCCCCTACACAATCCCTCTTTTCTACTTCATTTTTTTCTAATAGAACTTTTCACTTCTGACACATGGCATTCAATCCTTAAGATGAGCTCAGGGTGGATGGGGCACTCAGCTTACAGGTGCATCTGCAGCTTTTATAGGGATCCTGGTCAAGAGGGGTTCCCTGTAGACAGCTGGGATGGAGCGGCCTCAGGGGTATGGGGGACTCAGTTCCTCATGTGTCCTTCTGAAACCCAGGAACAGGCTCACTAGGAGACAGAGAACGAGGAGCCAGAAAGTGGACAGGAGAGAGGGACCAAGAGGTCAAGAGAGAGAGAGGTCACAGCAAGAAGAGAAGCAGGAGCTTCCAGAAAGAGTGGTCAGCTCTGGATATAGGGGAAAGCTGATTGAGGGGAGGATTGAGATGGTAAAATTGGGCAACAGAAGTCCTTGAGCCCTGTATGGTTTAGAGTTCTCACCTGAATGTCCATCTCCACCCTGTCCTCAGGCTGTGTGTCCTTCACAGCATCATCTGTGGGGACAGAACATGAGGGTCACCTCCTGCCAGAGTCCTGGGGTCTCTAGTCCCACAGGCCCCTTGCTGTCCTAGATGGGGACACAGAGCAAGAGTGCATGGTGACATCCCAGGTCCACAGTTGGGGGTTCAGTCTGACTCATTCTGAGCCCAGCCTTTCCCTCCTTCCCTCCATGGTCCCAAGTCATTGGGTGTCTCCCTCCCAAGGCCCCTTTTCCTCTCACAGAGGTTTTCTTCCTGGACAGCAGCAGCTGGTCTGAAGCTGGGGAGACAAGGAGGTCAGGTGTTAGTGAAGGATGCAGGCATGTGGGGATCTGGGTCCTTGAGCAGGAATTACCTCTTCTGCAGGCCTCTGTCCCTAGATGCTACCTCCTCAGCCCCTGCAGGACCTTGGACGTTGGCCTCTCTCTGGGCTGTGTGAAAGGGAAGAGTCTCAGGCCAGGAGGGTTAGAGCTGCACCACACAGGCCCCAGAGGGGAGGACAGGGACTTTAAACACACTGGACACTTGTCTATGTTTCTGAGATGGAAAAGGTCAAAGAAAAGCTGAAATTTGCACAGGTACTGGGATTAAGTGTTTCCTGTTGTAGGTTTTCTGATCTGAGATTCTGCAGAAGGGTTTCTAAGCAGTCCTGTGCTCACTGGCTAGTTTCCCTGAGGCTCATGGCCTGAGCTCACCTTTGGTCACCTCTCCAAGGAGACCAACTCCTTCTGAGACCCAGGTCACCCACTCCCTACTCACCTGACCTCCTGCCTTTGCCCTGATGCCAGTGTTGGAGGAGGAAGAAGAGGAAGAGCAGTAGCAGGAGGAAGGCCACTGAGACCCCGATCAGAACCTTCTGGTAGCTCTCCAGTCCTTGGGCACAAGTGACACAGTGGATGAAGAACAGTGCTGCTTAATTCAGAACCTACTGTGTGCCAGGCCCTGTGTGCTGGGTGTTTGTACCCTTTACCTCTGACCCTCACACTCCTGCAAATTGGCATTGCCTTTCCTGCCAGTTTGCAGAAGAGGAAACTGAGGCTCAGTGAGGCAAATCACTGGTCCCATGTCATCCAGAAAGAAGCAGCAGATCTGGGATTGGACCTGGGGAGTCTGACTTCCAGCCTCAATGTCTCCACTAGAGCTGAGACCCCTGAGCTGGAGGGAAAGAGCCTGAATGCTCCTGTCACAGCTTTGTGCCCTCTGTGCACAATGTCATCACAGCCCTGTGTTCCTTCCTGCACAATGTCACTGTCACTGTGTCTCTCCCTAAACACTATTACCAACACCATGTCAGAATGGACATGCCCATTGCAGAATCAGTCTTGGAGGCTCCCCCAGGAGGTCTCCTCTCTTAGAAGGTCTCAGCCAAGGTCAGCAGTGAAAAGAACTTGGAGGACTGAGTCAGGCATATCCTTTATACTTGGAGAAACTGAGGCCCAGGTTGGAGAGGGGCTTGTGCAAGTCAGTGTCTCCAGAGGAGGTTGCACAAACCACAGAGCTCAACCCCTGATCCCTGATACCCACTTTCTAGAGACCCTGCTTACCTCTTTGGGGTTCTGACTCCATGAGGGTGAAGGGCCACCCACAGGCACAGGGCCTGTGGGGTGAATGGAAGGTGAGAGGCTGGGTGCCCTTGCTGTCCACCTCAGCCTGGCTATTCCTCTCCCAGTTTGGGCCCCAATATTTCCCTGTGCCTTGACCCCACACTCATGCAACCCTGAATGTGCAGTGCTGGGGACACCAGAGGGTCCTGTGAATGGGGACAAGAATGGGGAGAGTCTGGGACTGCCCCTGGGGACCCAGTCTCTGCTCACTCTTCTCCATCTGCCCTGTTACCTCACCAAAGCCCTCCCCTTGCCAACCTGATATCTTCTCAACTCTAGTGAAGGGATGGGGGAGCACATGCCTGGGGGACCCCTGCTAGCCTCCTCCTCTCCGAGGAATGAAATACACTCTAGCTGGTCCTCCCTAGGTCCCCACATTGCTATCCCAGACCAGAGCTTCCTAGAGGCACAGACTACAGTGATCCTTTTGGCTCAGACAGGATGGGGCTGGGGCCACTCACCAGAAACCATAAGCTCCAGAGGGTCACTGGGCTCTGACAATAGGTAGGGGGATGAGTTTTGAGACCCATAGCACCTGAAGGTTCCCCCGATGGCTGAGGTCACAGCAGTCATGGAGAATTCTGCCTGGTGCTGCTGAGCTCGGGACTTTGATCTGAGACGCAGGGGGGGATTGGCTGCCCCATCCTTGGACAGAAGGAAAGTGTCCATTGGGCTCCATGACTGACACAGCATGATCACATTTTCTCCTGAGGATACTGTGGGACTCGGCTGCACCGAGAGGGAGGGTCTGTAAGGTAGCTGTCCTACAGAGAAGAAGGAGGGTGAGGGGCTGCCCCACCTTGTCCTGAACTGAGAGCTCGCAAGGGACTGTCCTGAGAACATGGTCTCTCTGTCTGTCTCAGTTTTCTCTGATTCTACCTCTCCCAATCCCTTTCCCATCTCTCTGTCTCTGTCCTTCCCTAAAGCCCACCCTTCATCCTGGAAAACTCTTGGGGCTCCCCCAGCAGAGCCTAGGCAGAGTCTGATCTCTGATTGATTCTGTTGGGTCCTCACCTGTGATCAGGATGTCCAGGGGGTCACTGGGAGCCGACCACTCAGAGGAGAGGTTGTGTGCACCATAGCATCTGTACTGGCCCCCATGTGAGCTGTTCACAGGGCCCAGGAGAAAGTCAGCCTGAGAGTGTCCAGCCTGGGACTGCTGGCCATGACGCTGAGGGAGGTCATGTTCTCCCTCCTTGGACAGAGCAAATCTGTCATAGCCAAGGTCAGAGCGACACTGGAGGGTCAGGGTAACTCCAGGGTCCAGGACATGGCCCTGCTGGGTCAAGAGGGATGGTTTCTTGGAGACCCCTGAAAGGAAGAGGAGCTTGGGTTGAGGGGCTGTTTAATGCCAAACACCTGTCTCCTCCTGTCCTGCCTTCCAGGTCTCACTGTCTCTCACTCTCTGGATTTCTGACTCAGGGTTCCCAAGCTCCTCTCAGCCCCCTCTTACCTGGTGCTCCTTGTAAGTAGGGCTCATGGCAATGTGTTTGGGGCCCCCAAAAGATTGGTTCATTACCTGAGATCTGTAGTTGTAGGGGGTCACTATGTCCTGACCACACCTGGGGGTTCCTGCTGTAATAACCATAGCATCTGAACCTGCTATGGCTGGGGGTCACAGGCCCCATAGGGAACAGGGCCTGAAACTGCCCATTGGAGTGTTGCTGTGAGTTCAAGGTCCAGGAGAGCTTGTGTTCTTTTTCCTTGGTCAAAATGAACCTGTCATATCCCTGCTGTGAGGCACACTGGAGGGTCACATTCCCTCCTGAGGTCACCACAGGGCTGGGCAGGGCTGAGAGGCTGGGTTTGCTGTAGACTCCTAGGAGAGAAGGAGGCAGTGTGTTAAATGGGCTCACACCTCCCACCTTTTCCCTAGGGCTGGGCTGTGAGAGGGGACACCCTTGAGAGCAGACCCCCTTCTTGAGGGCAGAACCAGGGGCTGTGACCCCTGAGCATCCTCTCACCTGTTACTACCAGCTCTAGGGCATCACTCTGCTCTGACCATCCAGCTTGGGTTTGATAATAACAGTAATATCGCCCTGCATCATACTGTAACATGGATTGGATGGAGAACTTGGTCTTGTTCCTAGGCTCCATTGAGGTCTGTCTTTTCCAGGGCTCTGAGCTTTGCTCTTTATATAGACGGTACTCCTTGGCCTCCAGGGTCCCCTCACACAAAATGGTCACAGAGCTTCTTTGCATGATCATGGAGCCTGGCTCTGCTGAGAGGGTGGGTTTGGGGAGGGTCCCTGTAAGGGAGCAGGAGAGAAGGAGGCATGTCTGTCATAAACCTGGCATAGGGAATGTTGTAGTTAGAGACAATATTTAAGTGGATCCCTGAATTGCAGGACAGAGGACACACATGAAGAGCTATCTCTGATCTGGACTCTCTATTTCTCATTTCCACTGTCCCCTGAGTTTCTATATCACTGGTCCCCTCTCTCCCACATTCTGTCAATGGGATCAGAGCCCTGGCTCTCCTCACCCTACCACACATCAAGTGGATTCCCTTGGGACCTGGGTCAAGTCCCAGGTCATTCAAGGGAAAGGCTGGGGCTTCCTTACCTGAGACCTGGAGCTCCAGGAGGTTACTGGGGTATGAGCACAAATAGGGGTTGTTCCTGTGACAACCATAGCATCTGAATGTCCACCTCTGGCTTGGATTCACTGGGCCTACAAGGAACAGGGCCTGGGACTGCCCACTGGGGAGATTCTGTGAGTTCTGAGTCCAGGAGAGCTGGTGTTCTCCTTCTTTAGTCAGAATGAACCTGACAAATTCCTGCCATGAGACACACTGGAGAGTCACAGTCCCTCCTGAGGTCACCAAAGGGCTGAGCAGAGCTGAGAGACTGGGATAGGTATAGTGGAATCCTGGGAGAGAAAGAGGCTTTGTGTTTAATGGACTTACACCTCCCACATTGTCCCCATGGCTGGGCTGGGTGAGGGGATACTCTTGAAAACAGATCCCATTCCTGAGGGCAGAGCTTGGGGCTGGGATTCCTGAGAGTCCTTTCACCTGTCATCACTAGCTCCAGGGGGTCACTCCACTCTGACCAGCCTACAGGGCTATGATATTTGCAGTGATATCGCCCTGCATAGTTCTCTGACATGTATGGGATGGAGAACTTGGCCTTTTTCCCAGGCTGCAGTGCCTTCCATCTATCCCAGGATGCTGAGCTTCTCTCTTTATCCAGATGGTACTCCTGAGCCTCCAGGGTCCCCTCACACCATATTGTCACAGGCATTCCCCAGGAGATCACAGAGCCTGGCTCAGCCCAAAGCCTGGGTTTGGGGAGGGTCCCTGCAAGGAAATCAGAGGTTGGATCTCAAGACATCACCCCCTCCTATCCTAGCTCTGATATCCAGGACCTTCCAAACACTCCCAGCATCAGCCACACATGCTCTTCTCCATTCTACTACCCTTGTCCCTTGTGATGAAGAAGGACAGCTGAGGACACACTCACCTGCCTGCACTTTGGTCTTTGGTTTCACACTCAGCCCTGGAAGAGAGTTCCCTGTGAGAGGTTTGCCCCTGAAGCCTGAGTAGGTCCTCTCCTCCCTGGAGCCTCTCGAGCCACTGACAAGAGTACCTCCCAGACTAGGGTGCCTCTTCTCCCTCATGTCTCACCAAGGCAGAACAAGGCTGTGAGGGTGAGGGTCATGCTGTCTCCACCCATGGCTGTAGTTGTGCAGATGGATGAGGCCACATTGCCCTGCAGGACAGACAAACATACAGGGTGTGGCTTTGGAATCTGAGTTCTGCCTGTCACAGCACTGTCACATCAGCAGCGCCACAGGAGGAGGAACTTCCCTTCCCAGGAGACTGGTTCTTGGGGCTCTACAGCTGGGACCAGGGCTGGCACTAGGCTCTTTGCAGACACTTGCAATTATAACGGGGTCTCTTCGACTCCCATCCGACCCAACTGATCTGTCCTTGTCTCAATGAGGGCCAGGATGTAACAGCAAACACACCTTGTTCCTTCAGAGATGGCTTCTTCCAGATGAGAGTGATTGAATTCTGGTCCTTCCTAATCAAAACTTCCACGAAGTTACCTTCATTCTTTCATCTTATCCACCTGCACTGTATTGTGGGGTTCTTACCAAGACCAGTCACCTCCCCAGCCCTGTGGATGCTGATGGGAGTTTGTAGTTCCCTGCTACAGGGAAGAAGCAGAGCAGAAGAACACAGAGAACACCTGACTGTGCAACTCATATGGAACTTCATCATGGAATGAGCACAAAGTAGATGCATTATAACGGGGTCTCTTCGACTCCCATCCGACCCAACTGATCTGTCCTTGTCTCAATGAGGGCCAGGATGTAACAGCAAACACACCTTGTTCCTTCAGAGATGGCTTCTTCCAGATGAGAGTGATTGAATTCTGGTCCTTCCTAATCAAACTTCCACGAAGTTACCTTCATTCTTTCATCTTATCCACCTGCACTGTATTGTGGGGTTCTTACCAAGACCAGTCACCTCCCCAGCCCTGTGGAACTTCATCATGGGAATGAGCACAAAGTAGATGCATGGAAATGTGGCAGGAAAACCAGCTCTTCTCTTCTTATTGTCATGGGTTTCCTTTGCTAAACTGTCTTTACATGGACTTCCTTTTTTCTTTAGCAACAGAATTCCCTACCCCCAAATTACCCAGAATAGATTCTGGGGTGTTCTCAACTCCACAGTGCCGTGTTTCTCAGGGCTGAATTCTCCTGGTTGTGTGGTGGCTGATTTGTATTTCTGCATGCTCACCTCACACTGATGGAGCCATCTTGAGGATGGAACCCCCATCTCTGAGCCTCAGTTTCCTCTTTTGAAGCCTGCACTTCATTTTCAGAGTGGTCATGGGGCCAGTGGTGTTGGGGACATGGAGAGGCTCAGTCATCGTTAATTTCCAGACCAGGTGGAACATGGGTTTTGGTGTTGTATGATGTAGGTGCCCACTAACAGTCCTTATCTACTCTGAGCATTAGAAATGGTCAATGTAGTATGTCTGAAACCTGCAGATCATTACAGTCTTGAGCAGAAAAGGTGAAACAAAAGTTCCCCAAATGGAGAAGAAGCCTCATCAAAGACAGGGATCGGAGCTGACACTGAATTCTGAGATTGTGCTGGGATCACTAAGGGCAGGTTTTCTCCTCTATGTGGAGGTGGGGTCAGGGCTCCAGGTAAGGGTTGGAATCAGACTGTCCCTTCCATTGTGCTTGCAGATGGCACTGGGCACTCTCTGCTCAGTGTTCAGGACCCATTTGCAGCACAGAGCTGCCTCCCTAGGTATATAAATCAGATTCACTCCAGTGCTGTCACCAATGGCATTTATTTCACATGTGAGTGTGAGTGTTACATTGGACCCATCCCTGCCTGGCACAACTCTGAGAAGGTGCTAAGTTGAGAAGAGTGATGGCACAGAGCAGGTGAACTATCCCCCTGTTGAGGTCAGATTCCTGTGTCAGCCCTGCTAGGAGTGCTCTGTGGAAGATCGGGTGCAGAATTGTGAAGCTGGATTGTTTACTTAAGATTTTCTCACTTTTACATATTATAGGCATTAATACTATAAACTTCCCTCTTGGAACTTCTTTTGTATCACTCATTAAGGTTTTATTTTACTTTATTTCGCTTTTGATGCTGGGAATTGGACCCTCAGCCTGTATGTAGCATATTAAGCATGTGCTCTGCTACCTAGCTGCAACCCCACCTTATCCCATGAGTTTCCATGTATGCTGTTCTCAATTTCTTTGGATTACAATAGTTTCCAATTTCCCTTTTGATTTCTTTGACCCTATGGTTGTTCAAGAATGTATTGTTTAATTTCCATGCATTTGTGAGGTTTCCTCCTTCCCTTTGTGTCCGAAAAGACACTTGGTGTGATTTCAGTCTTCTTAAATTCACTCAGACTTGCCTTGTGACCCCTGTGCTCTGTCCTGGAGAATGTTCTGGTGTGTGTTATGGACATGGCTCTGGCACGGTTGTCTGGGTGTCTCATTAGGTTCATTGGGTCTGTAGTGCTGCTCACCTCCCCTGTTTCTTTTGAAATTTTCTTCTGGATGCTGTGTCCACATTAACGCTGGACACAGGAATAGAAGAGAAGATTCAGAAATAAACCACACAGTGATAGCCATCTGATATTTTGACAAAGGGCAAAAACATACACTGGTGATAAGACAGCCTCTTCCCTACTGGTGTTGGGAAAACTGGATCTCCACATGCAGAAGACTAAACGTAGGTCCCTATCACTCAACCTGTAGAAAAATCAATTCAAAGTGAACCAATGATCCACTGTAATACCCACAATCTTAAAAGCACTGCAGGAAAACTAGGAAGACACTAGAAGATACAGGTACAGGCAACAACTTTATGAATGGAATCCAACTGGTTATGATATAACAGCACGAATTGATAAATGGGATTTCATCAAATTTAAAATCTTCTACACAGGAAAGAAATAACCGACAGAATGAAGAGAGAACCTACAACCTACACACTCCAGAACATTTCTTTTTTTTTTTTTGCGGTGCTGGGATTTGTTCTTCAGCCTACACCTTGAGCCACTCCACCAGCCCTTTCTGTGGTGGGTTTTTTAAGATAGGGCCTTGGAGACTACTTGCCCAGGCTGGCTTTGAAATTTGATCCTCCTGATCTCTGCCGTCCTGAGTAGCTAGGATTACATGTGTGGGCCACTGCTGCCCAGCTAGCATGGGGTTTTCATCAAGAAAACAAACAGTGCATGTTGGTGAGAATTTGAGGGAAAAAGGAACTCATTCACTGTTCGTAGGAATATAAATTACTACAGCAATTATGGAACTCAGGATAGAGTTCCTCAAAAAATGAAAATTAGAAGTATCGTATGATCCTTCTATACCATTCTTGCCTATATATGAAGGAATAAAAGTCAATATACAAGATACCTGCTCACCCATGTCTATAGCATCACCCTTTATGATAACCGAGCTATGGAATCAGCATAAGAGCCCTACCAATTGATGAATGGGCAGTGTGGAGTATTATGACATGAAATTATGTCATTTGCAGGAAAATGTATGGAATTGTAGATCGTTATGTTAAGTGAAATAAACCAGACTCAGAAAGCCAAATACTGCATTTCTTTCTTACATAGAATGCAGACCTTAAGAAATGACATGAATATAAAAGGGGACTGTTTGGTGGGAATGAACCAGTGGGAATAGGAGAAAGGATGAATAGGAAGGTAAATGTGATTGAAGTCCTTCTAAGTGGATGTATGAATATAGAATAGAGAGACCCACTAAAGTATTTTTAAAAGGGCAAGAGGAGGAAGGATAAGAAAGAGTAACAGAGAGGTGAATAAAAATCAAACACCTTATATGCACACGTGGAAGTATCAGAATGAAACCCCTTTGTTCAATTAATAATGCTAATAAAATGGAGAAAAAAATATCACAGACTCAGGAAAAGAATTGTTGCATGTTTTTTTCTCATATATGGAAGTTTAAAAGAAAGAAGCAAAACCATGAATGATTTGGATCTGGAGGGCCAGTAGGAGATGGGGAACACGTGAGGGTGGTGGGGGTCAGTATGTCAAAGTACATTGTGTACATATGTTGAAACATGACAATGAAACCCACTATTTTGTAATAATACAAAAATGCCAGTGTTGGTGATTCGCTCCTGTAATCCAGCAACTCAGGAGACAAGAGGATTGTGCTTCGAGGGCAGACCATGCAAAGTTAACAGGAGAACCTATCTGAAAAACAAATAAGAAAGCAAAAGGGCTGCAGTGTGTGGAATGGGCAGAATTTCCCACTCCAATGCCCAATACTGGGGAAAAAAAGGGAAAGAAAAAAAATAGTGGTTTAAAAAAAGAATCATTTTAAAAAATGAAGCCAGGTAATTTGCATTGGGACTTCAGGAAAGATCCCTTGAGGACATCTCAGGATTCAGAAAGACCCCACCAATGTACAGGCTCAAAGGATATAGCAGTATAAACTTGCTTGAAAGACTTGGGTTTGAGAAGAGAGCTCTGGGTGCCCTGTTAACACCACCAGCCTGCCTAGGAAATGTTTCCCCAGGATTTGCTTCCCTGCTCAGCCATTTTAGGTACCCAGAGGCTTGTATGTTGGAAATATGTAATATCTCTTTAGATTATCAGCATATTCATTGTGAAATTTACATACATGTATCCTAATTAGATTCATCCCCTCAATCTTTCTCCTTCTCCCCCCTTCTTAGAACAATTCAACAGGTTTAAATTCTTTCTATTCTCATATGTGAGTACAAAATATTTCCACCATATTTGCCCTTCTTCATTCTTTCCTTATGCCCTCAGATGTCTACTTGTTTTTACCTTCTTGTCTTTATATTTTTAAAAAATACATTTTTGTTAAATTATTATTACATTTTCATACAGACATGTATTATATCCTGAATTAGTTCATACCTTACTCCATTCTCCTTCTTATTGGTGACCTCAACAGGTTTCAATGTTTCATATTCAGGAAGTATGTAATAAATTCTTTTTTTTTCACAAGGACTCACAGCTAAGTTTCTCTTGATTCTTGGAGGCACGTTGGACTTGGAAATATCTGCAGCACTGGAGCCATTAAGACTTTGGGAGCTCTTGGAGATGGACATGAGTCTCTTGGGGTCAGGGAGGGTAGAATGTTCTGGTTTGGAGCTCAAATGTCTCCAAAGCGCCATGTGCATTGAAGGGTTTGTCCCA